GCAATTTCACTATAGTAATAAAATATATAAAAATATGTACTTACTCAAATTTGTAAATGCAGATATGAACCAAGTCAAAACACTGACCGATTCAGAATCTTTTGTACGGAGTATTTCAAAGAGTTGCACAATCTTACTGGATGCTCCAATAGGTGTACACATTGGCTTAAAAGAAAAGTGATTTCATAAATGCTGTTTCTTTATAATGAATTGAAAGTATTAAGCAATGAACACTTACCACCAATATACCAAGTACTGTTCTTGGAAGCATGTCGAAAGCTAAAACTGATGCCAATATCAAGTACCCCACAACAAAAATCAATGTATTTTTGCTGATGAGATTGTTATATAACAAAACAAGGTATATTAATATTAATTGCTGTATTAAAATTATTGGGTATTCCAGATATGATAAAAGAGCATATCTATTCACAAAATTGTACGAAAACATAATTGTGTAGCTGAAAATAAAACATAAAGTATATTCAGAGATATCAACATCATCCTCATATTATTTTTTTATCAACTTTGTAGTACCTACCTGGATAATTCTAACATAAGTCCATATAAATTTATGCCTCTAGCAGATTTTTTTTCATGCAGTGTTTTAATTTGAGGTACTTTAAGAATAAAGCATATTGCTATGGTAATAAAACTTAAAATATCAGATATGATATACGCAAAACTTTTTTCAAACATTTTTAAATATTTTCACGACCAAACTGATTTTTTTACAAGGTACTGGGTATTGCTATTAATAAATTTCTTTCGTAATAACCTGCAAGATGCTACAGAAATTTGATTCAAAAAATTTAACACTATTGATTTACTAGGGATCCAGAAACTGACGATTACAAATTCATGTAGTCAATTCTAAAGTTAAAATTAAAATGGAACGATAAATTGTAGACGTCAATTTCAATTTTGACATTTTTCAGTAACGTCAATTTGTGTCATTAGAATATTGTGATGACAGCTCAAAGCACCTAGTGACAGTTTCTTGAACTAATCGATAAATTATGTTTTTATAAAATCTGTTGATTGTCAAAACCATAGATAAAAGAAGAGTATATAGATCGCTCTCTCGGGCCATATTTCGTTGCCACATTCCTGTGTTAGTTGAAGCCCCGCGCTACAGATGGCACTAGTCGCCTGAACGGGTGCGTATAAAAAATACTATAGAAATGAACCAAAATTATATGGACCGTTTTAATTCAAAATTTAAAAAAAGAAAAATTGAAAAAAAAAAAAATTTTGAAGCATTTATTTTTCACAAAAACATTCTACATTATATCTACATAGTTCTCTTTATAAACAAAGCACACATAGCATAAAAATGTACATAAATATACACATTATCCACAATGTATATATATATATAACATTATATATGATTATAATAGATGGTAGTAAGCTGTAAAAACTATGTGCGAAAAGCATAAAAATGTACTTAAATGTACACCCTATCCACAATGTATATATATATATACAAATATATATATATATTATATACATATATATATATATATATATATATATATATATATATATATATATATATATATATATATATATATATATATATATATATATATATATATACATATATATATATATATATATATATGTGTGTGTGTAATATCATTTTAGCATATCAGCCTTTCAAGCTGAGCACAAAAAGAATAGAAATGTACATGAATGTATATATTATTTATATATATACATATACATATATAACCACAATTCTTTGATTGATATTGATTCAGATCAATATATAACCAATATATATATATATATATATATATATATATATATATATATTTACATATATATTTATTTTGATTAACATTAAGTTACATAATATCTATGATGTACAGTCTCTATTTGGGAATCTTTTCTGCGCTATTGTTAATGTGCATTCAAATGTTTGTTCAAAATGTCATTATTATCATTGTCTTAAAGAAAAACAACAATCATTGATATTATTATAACAGTACTTAATAGTTTTCTTATAGCATCTACAATAAGACATTTTAGAGTAAAGCTATTGACATCTCTTTCAGAATAGTCAAATGCAATAAGCAAGTGCACATTAAGGGTGTTTTATCCCTTTGCTTTTTAGAATTTTATCATTAATCATGATTATACTTTGCCTGTCATTTGACAGTTCCTGAAAATCTATACAATGTGATTCCCTTTATCATCATTAAACAACACAGATAATAATATTTCTTGTAATATCAAAATGAAATTATTAATACTTAAAAACTTTTCCTGTGACATAGCCAAACCTAAATTAACCTTTGCACTAGCTAGAATTTCACCATTAATTGAGAATTTCCTTTCACTTACGATTATATCATTAGTGTTTTTAGTATGTTCTCCAAACTGACTTAATATATAATTACGAGTCGTACTGTTCAATATTAGTGGGAGATCAGCAAAGATTTCAGCACATTTCAGACTTCATTCTTATTGTTTTTTCCTGTGTATTCATTCATCTCATATCAATACTTGTACACTTGTGAATGTGTTTAGTAAACCGTCTAAACATTTTACATTTGAACGTATTTTCCTTTTATACTGCTGAAAAAATCGATGTAGAATTATTAGTTATGATCCTACATTATTAGAACAAGATTAATTTATATTTAGTTATTTAATAACATACCTTTCAGAGAGCTGACAGGAATTCTCTCTGTCTATTTATAACCTTAAAATTTCTAGTATTGATATAGTTAAATGTCTCAATTATTTCTGAATTATTAAACTGTAATGAAAAATCATATCAGAATAGTACAATCAAATGAAAGTAATTCGAAGTATGCATATTAATAAAAGTACTCACTTAGATTGAAAGCCGGCAAATATTATTACTTATTTTACTTTTACTTCGTCGTTTCTCGCTGGAACTACATAATACATGCATTTTTCTTGGTATTTCTTCTTCGTTAAACAATGCACTTCGACAGCTTATTTGTTTTTTACTCTAACAAGCATTTATTATATTGTCTAGGTTATCTCTCCATGAAAAATTTATTACAATGGACGCCATGTTTAATTTAAGTATCTGTCATATGTCAAATTCGATTTCAAAGTGAAAAAAAAAAAAAAAAAAAAAAAAACAAGCGCGACCGGCGGCAGGGGCTCTAACTAAACTCGGGTTACAGACGTTTGTTCCGAGATTACCGGCCATGGTCAAAACGAAAATATTGATATAAATGAAGGACAAATGTCAAACTCAACATAATTTTTGCACAAACATAAAATATTTGATATGTTTGTAGTATAAACTGTGTGAAATAGATTCATAATAATTATTTAATCCACAAGGAAACGTATATTATGCATGTGAAATGCCAATTCGTAAGAAAATAGAAAACTTACGTCAAATCGCTTTTGATCATACTTTTAATTTAATAAATCAAACCTGCCAAAATATTTGTAAGAAATATGAATCCTATGATGATGCAACATGCGCAAAGGAAGTTTTGGAACTTAATCAGTTTTTATTTGCCAATTTATGTTCTATGTAAGGCGTCCACAATTATATTTGTTTTAATACTTATCATTCTTATTTATTGTTTTTCCAGATTTTTAGATGACATGCTACAGAAAAGGGATAAATGCTTGAATATAAAAGATCCAAGAATATTAATTGCTACTTTAACAAACCCTTTGACAAGATGTTTTAAAATGGAAACACCGAGAGATGCGTACATACCAAAACAATTTTGGATATCCTTAATTCACTCATTAAATAATTTAGTTAGTTTAGATATGGCATTGATATGTAATGATAAATTACTGAGCGTTGTAGGGAATTCATGTCCTAAGCTAGAATATATTAATGCAACTTCTAGTTATAAAAGAATTCAATCAGATTTCAATGCATTGCTGCTATCAAGGAATGTAAGTGACAAAGGTTTGCATTGTTTGTTAAGCTGCCAGCAACTACGCAAAATTGTCATAGATGAACCAAGAGGAAAATTTACTCATGGAATTACTTACAAAGGAATTGAAGAACTCATTACAAAACTTAAATTTCTAGAAGAAATAAATTTCACTGATATTGCTGCGATAATAAATAAACCTTATCTAAAAGGAGTAACATTAAAACTTAAAAATATAACTCAATTCAAAATTTCAGTCCAAAAAATAAAGATATTTGAAAAGACATGTCCAAATCTAAAATGCTTAATCTTAACAAATTTTAGTGCTGATGAGAATGAATCTTATGCTGCTTTAGACTACATGGCGGAGTCAGTAATACATTTAGAAAGTATAAAGTTATCATATTTTGGTTATAATTCAGCAGTTCAAAAATATTTTCAAATGAAAGGATCATTTCTTACTTCTATAATCTTCATTGGTGATGCAGAAAGATCAATAGCAGCTGAAGACATACACCACATAGGAAAATATTGTCCTAATCTAATGCGATTACATATAGAAAAAATAGCTTTTTTTGATAACGGTTTAACTGAAAGTGTTTATGATAAAAATATGTTTAAGTTTATAAAAACTTTACATTTGTCCGGTCTCAGATGGGATGTTGAACATATTTTACCATTATGTCTTTCTAATACTATCTACATAGAAAAAATATCACTCATAATCAATGATGAGAATTATAATGATCATAATCCTTATCGTGTTGAAAATGTTCTTGCAAAAATCTTTAACAAAAATACTGCCGCTCTGAAATCACTAGAATCACTATATTTATACAATCCTATAGCAGTGACTGTAGAATTTATAACTTTTTTACTTGCAAAATGTGATAATTTACAAGCATTGAATGTTTGGTGTGAGGATCATGAAAAATGTTCAACATTACAAAAGACTTTAATTTCTGATAATTTTGATATAAATTTCCAATATGATTTAGAATAAATCAAAAACAGATACTTATATGCTATGCATATCATATTTATTATATATTTAACAATTTGAATTATATGTTCAATTCAATATAAAGTTTAAATTAGAATCTGTTTTTTAATATTCTTTCATAATTAATTAATGTACTGAATAGTTTGCGCACCTTTTAAGAAAACCAGCCTGGCTTATTTATTTGATTGTACTTTGCGATATTTACTAATATGGAATTAGTTACTTCTTCTGCAGTTTTATTTTGCCCATAATAATCTACAAATTCACCATCAGGATTCACTAAGTACTGAATAATAGTGTGATCCACCTAGAAGATATTACTCATATTATTTATTTATTCAATAACTTATACCAATAAAAGAATCAAATTAATGTAAATTGAATATCACTAACTCATTAGCTGTTCAGATTTTGCCTTATAAAATGTTATCAATGAAAGTAAATTGGAAATAGCAGGTATTTCACAAAAATAACAGAAATATTTCAATTATGAAACTATAAAATAATCTTAAAACTTATTAGAAAAGAATATTTACAATATAATCTTGATCAACATCTTTTGGTCCCAAACTGCTGTATACTCTATAAGCTTTGCAAGCTTTACTTATTTGTTCTGGACTTCCTGTTAATCCAATCAAACGATCAGAAAATTCTTTAACATACTTTCCTACAATTTCAGGTGAATCTCTATCAGGATCCACAGTTATAAATAAAGGTGTAATTTTAGGTGCATCTTTGTGTTCATCTAAGAAGAAACAATATATTACAAATGTTTTGAGATACTTCATCCTAAAGAAAATATTCATTAATAAGCACCTAAATTTTTAACAACTTTAGTCATTTTTTCTAATTCGTCTGGGCAAATATCTGGACAATGTGTGAATCCAAAGTAAATCATAAGCCATTGTCCTAAAAATTCTGTACTCTTTCTTAATTTTCCATCAGAATCCACTAACTCAAAAGATCCACCAATAGCAGCTTTACCAAGTTGGCGTTTTCTCTCTCGCAATATAGCTAAAAGTACATATTAATGCATTGATTTATTTATGAAAGTTAATTCATATTGAATTAAAATACAAACAATTGTATATCGCGATATTATTTTAACAAAATGAAATTTTAAATAAATGACAGTGGAACCATCAATTTCATATTAAAAAAAAAAAAACAAAAGTCTAAAAATATTCTGTTATATTGGACCAAAATACAAAATTTTATCACTGGTTTTCAAGTTAAAGAAAGCATGTCAGCTTTGTCTGAATTAGATGAATTTTTTGCCAGAAAAGATAGACGTCGCAATAAAAAATGTAATGCTATGCTTTCGACACCTGAAGATGTAGCAAGAAAATTAGGTAATAACATTCATACAAAGAAGAAAACAGGTACTTTTTCCAGTAAATTCAAAATAATTGTTAGCAACTACTTCTTCATTGTTAAAATACACTAATTTCTATGCATATGTTGCAATGACAATAATTTTAAGCAGTAATTTTATTCAATAAGAGCCAAGTATATGAAAATTCAACTCTCTTTTAATGTAAGTATTAAATAATATTCACCTAAAATGTAAGAAGTAATACACTCTGAATGAATGTATGGCTGATTTAAGTGCATAAATAGTTAAAGAATGAAAATATGTTGTTGATAAATCCCATATTACAGATGAAGAAGCTGAACGAAATGAACAAAAATTGAGAAAAGAGCAAATGAGTTCGATTTGCATTCCACAAACAAATATTGAGCAAGAATGCATTGAAATAGAAGCAGTAGAAAAAGGTGAATGGGCAGAATTTGGTGAAAATAAAAAGGACTATACTGGTCTTAAAATAGGTTTGTTGTGTTTAACTTATAATTAAATAAATTTACAAAATAGAAAGCCAAATAACTTTTAGGAAACCTCACATTTGATACAGAACAAATGCAGCCCGATTCTGATAAATCAGCCAATTCTGTAGAGAATAATTCTAACGAAGGAGAGGTAACTACTAGTGTCTGGAAAAAACTGGCAAAAAAAGAACCACCCAAGGAACAAATCCCGGTTCAGAAAGCAGAACCAGAAAAAGTGAAGGGATATAGACCACCACATCTAAGAGTAAAAATGAAACAGACAGCTCATGCCAAAAGTAAAACAGAAAGAGTCAGTCGAACTGCTCCTGACATCAATAATGAACAATTCTTTCCCACTTTAGCTAGTAACAGGTATTTTTATATTGTCAATCATTGGTAAATTATTATTATGTATAACATGGATTGAAATCCCGTAATGGCTTAAAGATTTCAAATTGTTATTACATATTAATAATAAATTATTAATTGTGGGTGTTGTATTCTGTAATATATATAATGATTTTTTTGCAGATAATCAGAAGCTACATATAAATCTAAATATTCAATATTTATATAAAAATTTAATTTGTAAAACTTATTTATGTATAAAAATGATGTTTCAAATTTTGTATTATAACTTATAGATTGCATATTTTTATTATATAACTTTATACCCATTTGTTTTTCGTTTTTCACATACAACATGAACCCTAGGAGCCCTCCACCGATGCCGGCAGTGATTCCCAAAGATTTCCATGTAATAGGACCTTTGTTTTTTCCCGGCTGAGTAGCTGTCGTGGAGCTGTATCTTAATCTTGTATTCTATTATTTTTGGAAAAAAAATTAGCAAATTGAAATCAAATTAATGATTTCATTATTTGATTTGAAATTATTATAGGTTAGAAACTTACAAAAACATTGTCCACTGTTTTATTCGCACGACGAATGTACCTCCACAGTATTTTAGACATTATGAACTGAATTTCTAAATAAATTGCAAAATTGTTTAAAGTAGAAAGAAAATTATGTGATTATGCTCTTGTACTTTGCGCATAGACAAAATAGATTGTGGTTAAATGTCACATTTGGGTTTACAGTGGTTTCCAATATTCGTTTTCTTCTAACTGACAAATAATCAATCTAGTATCGCAGAGTTAACTAAAGATGTTTTTATATAATATAATTTCACCAATAAAATTATTAATTAATTAATATTTTCAATAATGAAATTAATAAAGAGCATTTTAAGGCACTACAAAATTTAATACCATTATATTATAACAAAATAGGAAGTTTTTAATTTATTCTGCATTTAAATAATAAAAAAAAATCAATTCAGACTTCAAATTAAATATATTGCAAATTTATTTCATTCATAGCTAAAAATACAATTTTATTTGACTAGGCTCACAAAAATATTTAGCTGAAGCACATTTTAGAACATATTCTCAAATATTTTAAATAAATACCTTATTTCATATCGGCATCTAATTGAAAATCAAATATAAGCACAATGATAATTCAAAAATTAAGCATAATACAATTTCCAATGTATTAAACATTTTGATAAAGATTAATTAATTAATCTACTGAGGAGTCGGAGTTAAAGCAACCACTGTAAAACGTAGCTCATCAGGATCACGAGCCATGAAACCTTGGCACACTTTGGCAGCATCCTGCAAGTTATTTTAAATTAATAAATTATTCATATACCTATTATGTGTTAAAATACACATACTTCTAAGAATGTATTGGGTGTAGTAGTCCCATGATTTATAGGAAAAGATTTTCTTCCATCTGAAAAATATTTAGAACTGTTGATTATGTATTGCTTATTAGAGCTTAAACTTAAAATCAAAATATTAACCTAATTCATAAAGGTGACCATCTTTATGCACAAGAGCGACAAAATGATGATTTACAGGCTCATCTAAGCCTGGCGCATTGGTTTGACCTTCCATGGCTAATTCTTTATGAGCATTCATTATACCTTCACAAGTCTCTAAACCATTTCCACGACTTTGTGCATCAGCACTTTCAGAATCCTCTAAGAACTGTTTAAGAACGCCATCACCTAGTTGTATTCTGTAAGTTGTAATTATGTATTAATTTAAAATCTATTCAAGTCTACCATAAAAATCGGTTATCTTTCATCGGTTATCTATCTGTTCACAAACTATGTATATATTTGGAAATGTATATAAGAAAAAACATCTTACTGATCAGTATTGTTAGCAACACTGTGTACAAGAGCAATTGTTCCACAAGCATTATGTACAGTTTGCTTCATGTAGAAGAGATTTTAGAAATTTCTTGCGGAGAAGCAGTCAAGCATCATTTGCATCTTTGCTGATGTTCCTCATACTAAAATGTCACGCAATTTAAACTGCATTAATATGATGTTCTTCAACAATATAATATCAATAAATATGTATATGCAAAAGAACCAAACCTTTGCGGAACAGGGAAACAACAAAAATTAAAGCTAAAACTGGACGTGGAACCCATGCTAGCATATCTGGCTCTAGAGCGTAAATGTCGACGATCGACCATTTATTTGGAACACCCAGCTTATGAAGATACTTGGTCATTACCTAAAATTAAATGTGTGTAATATTAAGTATTCAACCAGCGATGAACTTTTGTGCAATATACTTCAGGATTAGATTCGAGAGGTATCCAGGTAGTCATGTTTAACCAGATATATAAATATACAACTAGTATTTAAATAATAACAAACACTACGACCGGTTTCAAAAACAAAACACTGTATGGAATCCTATGAGAAAGTGAGAGTGACATGCAAAACTCAAATGACTCAAATAGATACTACTGCTGCCATCTATTCACATACTAACCGACTCGATATATTTTTTGTTTATTGGTAGTGTGCATCTGTCAAAGTCAGTGAGGATACGGTTGAGTATGAGAATTTAAAAAATATAAATAGTAATTGTTAGATTGGATTAGATAACTATTTATCTTAAAGGTCGAATCAAATTAAATTCAACTTTTTTCAATCATATCTTCAGCACATTGCATTTATAATATTCAATTTATAATATATTAAACAGAGAGAATTTTTATCCTCACTGTTTTGGTCATGTTAAAAACAATAAATACATAAAATAATCTACTGTCATAATGTATTTTATACAAATTTCTCATATAAAGCATTAAACCATTTTGTATTATGTGTTAGCAGCATGACTGCAAACTCAACATCATCTTCTTGTAATAAAGAATTATATAGAGCATATAATTTTTTAATATTATAAGTGTATTCCCATTTGCATTTGCTGAATAACTTTTTGATATCGTTCTGGATATAATGCTATATATTCCACTAGAGAGATATTTTTCATTATTTGTTCAACATATTTTGAATTATCATATGAAGAATATGTGAATATTCAGTTTCCCTAAATAATGTGTGAAACATCTTAGCGCACATTTGAAAGCAAACTTTAGATTGTA